TCAGAAGCAATCCTCACCACAAACAAGCTCCTTCTGCCCTGTCTAAGTCCTCTGTTCAAATGAATGGGACAATGGAACATCACAGTGCAGGGGGGGCCAAACCCAGCCCTGCTGCCTCCGGCACTTCATCACAGACGACCTGTCGGCTCCCCCTTAGAAAAACCTACCGTGAAAACATCAGTCCACGTGTTCGTCCTGGCATACCAGGAGGAGGCGATGAGGGTTACCCGCGAACCACAGATTCACCATCCAGTCACAAATCCTCCTCTCCCCCTTCAGAAAGGACAGTTATTGCCAGTGTAAAGGTAGAAAAAAGAGACAACCGGGAGCATGTCTATAGAGAATCTAGTAATGATGTGAGCCGATTAGAAAGTGCAATGCATGGGCTGGACCATGTAGATGAGGTCTTCAGTCGTGGTCTCAAAACCTCGCAACATAATGTGCCACAGCTTTCAGACAGGGACTGTTCCAAAGAGAAGCAGGGTGAGCACACAGATTTTGAAACTGGTGAAAGTAAATACAAAAAGATGAAAAACAGACAGAGGGCAGGTGGGACATTTCGGATGGATCAGCATGCCCCCGGACCGCCGTCCCCAGAATCTTTTACCCGAGACTCTCTGCTTCCAGCTAAACGCTGCAAGTCGGACTCTCCGGATATGGACAATGCCAGTTTCTCTAGTGGCAGTCCCCCCGATGACTCTTTGAATGAGCACTTGCAGTGCGCCATTGACAGCATCCTAAACCTGCAGCAGGAGCCCACTGGCCCCCATATCAAAAGCAGACCTCACCATGACCACCACCTCCAAGGGGTCTCCACCCCTCTGTCCCACAGACCCTCTGTCCTGCCGTCCGCCTCATCGTCCTCCCTGGCCCAGCACCCTCAGGTCCGTGGCCGAGGCCACAATGGCAGCCTGGTACCCCAGACTCAGAGCAGATAACAGGCCCTCACCTCAACCAGCAACACTGGGGACTAAAGAGAGTGAGTGGGGGTGGGCACTGTGAACACAGTATCACTGTATACTCTGCCGAAATATGATGGCTTTGTTTGCTCATTTGAATTGTCCAGACATTTCTGTCTTTACTGTTGATGGTACACGTGTGAATCTGTGGAACGCTACTTTCATGTACATTAATATGCCTGAATTTTTTGTGTTCTCAGCCAAGCTTGAGAAACAAAAGAAAATGGTCAGAACTTGTTCAGTGTTCCCTATTCTCTCTATTATCCTTCTTTCATTATTTTAGTATTTCTACATTCCATCACATTACCAGGGTATATGGGTTTATTTGGCATTCTGCTTTCAAAGAACTATGGAGCATAGGCTACCCCAAATATGAACTTAACTGGCAAAATTTGTGTTAATTAGTGCTGTTTTTCAGGCAAACTAAAAATTTTACACTGGAAAATTCCCCTCATATGATATTATTCTGAAACCAATTAAAATTAACACATTGTGGGAAAACTATTACTTTGCAGTTTTTGGTGTTCAGCTTGACCTTTTTCTTTCATAACCTTCATTCAATTCAAATTCATGCATTCTTGCACTGACTGGTTGATGTCCCAGGTTTCTCCAGCAGGTGGCAGGTCATTTCTACCTGTTCAATTTGTGTTTTCTCAAGTCTTTCATCTGTTCGCTATTGTACTCTTTCCCCCCCTCCTTTTTGTCAGCTTTTTTTCTGATGGACAATTCAAACACAAACATCACAATGAAATGGAGAAAAAAGGAACAATAATAATGTACAAAAAGAATTTGAAGTATAGTATTACAGAATAATTTTGTATTTATTGTGTATAATGACACTTTTTAAAAAGAAATGTACATTTAGTAAAACTGTAAATTAAACATTGCTTCTTATGAAATGTAGGATATTTCTTTCTGTCTTTGTCACTCTTAAATAATAGATGCTTTTTTTTGTACATTTCTGATACAAAGTAATTTTATTGTACATTGGAGGAGGTGATACTTTGAACATGGCCAGTAGGTGGTGTATGAAAAAAAGCTGCTGCTTTGAATATTTGAAGTCTGATGCATTTACAGTCAGGAGCCAGGTCACAGATGATAGTTTTATCAAAACTGAGTCAAAGTTAAGTACACCCATGGAAAATGTAAGCATTGTTTTAGTTTACTATGATTTAGTTTAGAAACATTATTCCTTTTGTTGCAAGTTAAATTATTTATTCAGTGTCCCTCCTCCAGGTCCACGCCCTTTGACCACAGCCCATCTCTTCTGAGTTTTAGTGCTGCTCGCTGTAGTGCCCTGACGAGGAGGTGCTGTAGAATAGAGGGATTCAAAGTTATCTGCAGTGTAGTGCTTGTGTTTGCCCTGTGCTGGTTTCAACAGGCAGAGTGAGGAGTCGTGCCAGCTCTCATCTGAAATACATTAAACTTTGGAGAAGAACCATCCTCTGTAATCTGGGATCCTATTTGCTGTAAAAGGAACACCCATATATGCAGCAGCAGCTCCTCTATTTGGGGCTTTTCAGAGCAAATATTTTCCAAACTGCAGTTGCGGGAAAGATTTTGACATTGTGCTCTTGCAATCTGGTAAATACTTACTTTGTTTTCTGTATTTGAAGTTAATTGTTTGCATGTCTGTTTAGTTCATTCAAGGCCACATTGAGTCCTCGGGTTATGTTATAGTTTTCCTGCCAAGAACTAATCAAATTTGTAGCCTACAGCTTAAAAAAAAAAAAAAAAAAAGTCCTCTTTGTCAGTTAGCTTAAAATATTTACTCAAAAGGTTTCTAAATATATTTTGTACAATTCTTATGAATGGCTACTAAAAAAATCTGTTTACACAACAGTTTTGGTCTTATGACATGTTATAATTCGTTTGCCCTGCCCTAAATGGGTCAGTGTTTATCTAAGAGGTTTTCTACAGATGAACTGCTGTGTGTCGATGCATGCCCTGTCTCTTTTTGGTAATATGTACATTCAGCTCTGCTGATAGACGTTTTTAACCTTATATGGACTATTCCTATTAGCCATCTTTTCTTGTGATTTATTTGTGTGTGCAATTCCTGATCCACTAAGACAAACTGCTGGGGTCAAAAGGAATGTCTTACTCATTTCACTGTAGGACATGAGCTGTGCCTGTGCAAATCCTGATGCAGGGTTGGGTTTGCAAGTTTTCCATTCTACCCTAAATTTTTTCCAGACATGCACTGACAATACTTAATAGTCAGTGGGTGGGCCTTCAGATGAGTTTTTTGTCCCTGCTTAGTGTTGGTTAAAGAGAACATTTTATCTTACATTACAGGAGTTATTTCACGACAGCAGACTACTTTGACAAAAGTTCTGGACAAGCAAAACATCAGCCGTATTACTTTTCTAAGACGTGTGCTAGAAGGTATCCAACGACAAGTGAGAAGCTGCAGAATAAATACAGGAAACACCTGAAGGAAGCACATCTCCAAACATACACACGTCTGACAGCCCTGAAGACGTTCTCTAGAAAATAAAGCATGTCTCGCTGGGGAAAAAAGAATGTGAAAAAGGCACCTGAAGTGATTCGCACTGTGACCGATGGGCTCAAATCTCTGTACCGCAAGAAGCTACTGCCACTGGAGCAGTACTATGGCTTTCATGACTTCCACTCTCCGAGTCTGGAGGATGCCGACTTTGATAACAAACCTATGGTGCTGGTTGTTGGACAGTACTCCACTGGAAAGACCACATTCATCAAGTAACTATCTTTATCTAAAAATCTAAATGATATTTTGGCTTATGAATATCACTGACCATGTATATTGACAGGTACCTGTTGGAGCAGGACATTCCTGGAAGTCGGGTGGGACCTGAGCCCACCACTGACTGCTTCACAGCCATCATGCATGGGGATGTGGAGGGAGTGATTCCTGGGAATGCTCTTATTGTAGACCCCAACAAACCTTTTCGAAAACTCAACCCTTTTGGAAACACATTTCTTAACAGGTGACTGATTTGAAAGCATTTCTTTACATTGTTAATCAACATCAAATGAAACATTACAATTAGATGGAGAGAGGGAAGCAAAGATAACAGAAGGAGTTTAGTCTGTTGGAATGTGTAGATCTTGTGCCAAATGTCAGAGGAGGGAGGCACTTGCCTTATTTGTGGAAAATCTGAGAAAGGGAGCGATATCGCCGGAGAGGGTGATGACGACTAATGTACTCAGAGAGGAACTGCAATGTGCACAAGTTCAAAGATGAGGTCAAAGCTCGACAGCCCCTCAGGGCAAAGACAAATATATCAGGTCACCAGCAATATTATATAAACTCTTAAAACAGTTACACAGTGAGACTGTGAACAATATAATAACAGAGTTGAATTTGATGCAATGGAAATATTGCTGTAAGAGAAGAACAGAAACATAAAGGGCCTTCTGTTAACACAGTGCCAGTGTAACTGTGTGATGATGGTTTTCCAACAGGGGCCCTCTCTGTCCCTTAGCAGGGTGTGTTTGTAAATGTACTTACGTCTCTCCTCTTGCTTTGACTTCCTGAACTGGAGCCGGTGGGCTCATTAAGTTCATAAACTACAGGAAGTCATGTTGTTGTTCTAGGCTGCAAACTGTTAGCACTCCTTATTGTTTGATTCTGGCACTAGCCGTCATTTTCCTTCAGGAAACCATGAGCACTGAGAGGCCTGCTTCCATACAATGGTGTGCAGGGGAACAAGGGGAGGAGGTAGCGCAGGCAGTATCTAATATGGACCTTACATCAAATGTCCTTTGTGGCAGAGATTCTGATTTTAGATTTTCTCTCTGTTTTGATTATAAAAGGTTAATTTTCAGTATCTCTATTTGCTGCTGGCAATACCAGGTTCCAGTGTGCCCAGATGAATAACCAGGTTCTGGAGAGCATCAGCGTCATAGACACGCCTGGAATTCTATCTGGGGCCAAGCAGAGAGTGAGTCGAGGTGAGAGAGACCACAAAGGTAAGGAGGGGGCCTGGGGTTCTCACAGACACATCCCAAATGTCACCAAGCCATCTCCACATGTCTAACCAACGGGACCAGCCCCAGTGTCACAATCCCTCTCTCAACAGTGTACTCAGCATCTATAAAACTATAATTAAGAGCAGAATTTATGTAAATACGAATCTGCTGAGAATACTGATGAGGACCATCCTTCATTTCACTGTGGTTTATAATGTCAGCCCATATCTTCACGCTCTACGTAACAAATTATCATAAGTGCATGATTTACTAACAACTTGAGAATTTTTGTTCAGAAATGTAAAAAAAAACCCAAAACCTCCAGATGGTAGGCAGAAGGATGTGGTTGATTCCTGTCCAGTTGCCAGTGGTGCAGAGGTAAAAGAATGCTGCAGTAATTCTTGAGGTTGGAAGTGGAGTAAACAACTTTTATGTTTTGCTTTTTTTTTTTTAACCAATTAATTAATTGCATAATGTGTATTTTGTCCTAAATTAATCATGCAACAAGTAGTGTATAAAACAGAAATTTATAGTAGAAAATACAAACCAAAAGATTGTTTTGGTGTGCGCTAAATACTACAGAAATATAATAGCCTATGAATTGGCATCTAGATAGGATATTTACACAAGAAGGCTGGGTTTGAGTCTGTGCCGACCTCAACTCCTCTCCTGCCATATCATATATTATCAGTTTTGCTTATTTATTTTTATCCATACAGGCTATGACTTCCCAGCAGTGCTGCGTTGGTTTGCTGAGCGCGTGGACCGCATCATTTTGCTGTTTGATGCACATAAACTAGAAATTTCCGATGAATTCTCTGAGGCCATTGGTGCATTGAAGGGTAATGAAGATAAGCTGCGTGTTGTGCTGAACAAGGCTGACATGGTGGGCACGCAGCAACTCATGAGAGTTTATGGCGCTCTGATGTGGTCTCTGGGAAAGGTCTTTGGGACTCCTGAGGTTCTGCGGGTCTACATTGGGTCTTTCTGGTCCGAGCCCCTGATGGTCACTGACAACCGTAAACTGTTTGAGCTGGAGGAGGAAGACCTGTTTGCAGACATCCAGAACCTGCCTCGTAATGCAGCTCTGCGTAAGCTCAATGACCTGGTGAAGAGGGCTCGACTTGTCAGGGTCAGTACAGTCAGTTGAACATTATGATAAATATGATTGAAAGGAGTCTCTTAACAGTTATCTTGTTTTCATGAATTCTAGGTCCATGCACATATTATTAGCTATTTGAAACAAGAGATGCCCTCTGTCTTCAGGAAAGATAATAAAAAGAAAAACTTAATTTACCAACTTCCAGTAATTTTCTCAAAGATCCAACTGGCACACAACATCTCACCAGGGGACTTTCCTGATTGTGCAAAAATGCAGGTTTGTCAGAAATTTGTTAGTGACATTTATAAAGATATCGAGCTCTAGGGTAAAACTAACTCAACTTTTCTGCAGGAACAACTTATGGTCCATGACTTCACCAAATTCAAAACCTTGAAACCAAATCTGATGGCTGCCCTAGATGAGCTACTGTCTTCTGACATTGCCAAACTGATGCCTCTTTTGCGACAAGAGGAGTTGGAGGCAGGGGACCAGCCTGGGGTACAGGGAGGGGCCTTCCTGGGCACCCGTGCTGGACCCTTCACTGAGGGAGACCCCTTTGCCGAAGAGAATGGAGAGGCAGAAGAGGAGGAGGATACTTGGGTAGTGACCAAAGACAAACCAAAATATGATGAGATCTTCTACAACCTGGCTCCTAATGAGGGGAAACTGAGTGGCACCAAGGCTAAGGACTGGATGGTGAGTTCCCGCCTTCCTAACTCTGTGCTGGGCCGCATCTGGAAGCTGTCGGATGTGGATCGTGATGGCATGTTGGATGACGAAGAATTTGCTCTGGCAAGTCACCTGATTGAAGTCAAACTGGAGGGGCACGGTCTGCCCCCTGAGCTGCCCTCTCGGCTAGTACCCCCATCCAAACGCAGGCAAAAGGGGTCAGATGCATAAAGACACTTGCGTTATTTCACTTATGCTACTGTTTCTTTTTACCCATGCTGAAATGCTTGAGATGCTGTATGCAATGTCTTCTTTATCTTTTTATTTAAGTGCACCATTGCCCTAGATTTCACAACTGTTTTAAGAGAGAACAGTGCTTATATCTTCTGCTTGGCTTGAGGTTTGCCTGTGAGTAATACGTTCTTAAATATCTGTTTAGAAAGCAGAAGTTTGACGCCCTCTGAGAGAGCTATTATTTAATATAATCTAAAGGAATTTTAAGTATTAAAAATATTTTGACTGAACATTCCTTCAGTGATTAGACCTGACATTCTGATTTAGTACATGATTATTTTAACTAATAACCTTAGTTTTGCCAAATATTGAACTGCAAATGTAATGTGCTAACCCCTTTAAAAATATATATATATTATTTTTATATTGCAAATGCTTTGTATGTAATATGCTGAAACTTTGGAACTAGACTGAATATACTGACTACTGTGCACCTCCTCACCAAATGTTAATATCATAAAAAAATAAAGTTCTGACTGTGCATTGCCTCTTTGTGATATTTTGTTGGTTAAAACATTTTGTAGAAAGTTTATGCATTTTATAAAGACCTTTCCCTCATTTTATATTAAACTCTTTTGGTTTCCAGGAGACCAGAAAACAGTGACTCACTCTCTCCTTTGCCAAAGTCCCAAGACCACTATTTTTTCCAATCTCCTCTCACCTCCCCACCAACCCTCTAATGCTGCATACAGACCATTCATTTGGACTGTTTGCACATCTTTCTGTGGGGTTAGCCTGTGTAAACTATGCAGTGTATTCGAAATATCTATCCAGTACTAAGCCTTCGTGTGTCTCATAAGACCTAAAACATTCGCAGAAAGAGGGGTGGTTTTCCTAGGTCTTTCCACTCCCCCATGGAAAGAAACACAAATGAGAAACAGGCAATGCAGTTCTTCCCTCGGCTGCTCGCTCCCTCAGTGACTCACATGTGAAGAATGTGGAGGGCTGGCCTAGGAGTTATTAATATCTCCTTTCCTAGGGTCCGCTAAGTTTCCTAAGGCGCAAGGACAGGAGCTAGACACTATACCTTTGTGGAAAAAACATTACACACGTTTCCTTATTTGGACACATAATTGACCAAAACATGCAGTCAACACCACACCCTTCCCCCGCGTAAATTAAATTGCTTAGGCGCTGTTTTTCATAGCGTAGTTTGTGCAATGATTTATGTCTTCCCAACATCATCATCATCTCCAAAACATTATAACTAAATATACACATATCAACAGGCCTCCAGAATAGAGCTACGAAAAGTAACAACTGTACAGTGACCCCTTCACGCAGTAAATCACCCCCTGTGAAGCTGACTCAAGGAAATTGGGGTCTCCGTTTGCGTCACTGTGTTTACGCGGGGAACTCCTCACCAAGAGGCATCTCAAAAAAATGTATAGGAAAAGAACAGAGCGCAACAGTGACATCTGGTGGACAAAGTGCAATGAAAGTTTCTGCAATATCTCTCAACTAACTTCTACGTTTACATAACTCCGTCAGATACTGTGGAATATTACATTTTTATATGCTGAAATTGTAATATTTTATAGTAAAAGCCTTATATATATCATTATTGTATACCGTAGTATACTTCACTAAACTGTTGTAGGTGTATGCTTGCATTGATCTGCATATTCTGCAAAGAATACACAGATGTTCTATGTATTTAAAACATTTATTTAGCAAAACAAAAACAAAGATTTATTTTTTCAAATGTTATATTAAACTTAAGTAAAGTGGAAATGTGAACAAAAAAACACCTCCTCGCAAAAATGCCAGTAAACACAGAAACAGCGCTTAAAAACTAAAATGGTTTTTAATGTCTTTGATTTGTTTCATCATGTCTCCAATGTGCTGTCCATGGTCTTTGAGAACATCCTGCACAACTTTCTTCTGCTGAGCATTTAGTTGTACTGGAGTCTTCTCTGCAGCCTGGTCTTTGCCAACTTGTGTCTTCTGGTACTCCATCTTCATGTTCACCTGCTTGATGCTATTATCTAGATTTTTCAGTTGATCACTGATGGACTGGAGCTCTTTTTTCATGTCCTTTTCACTACTTGACAAAATTGGCAGTTGGTTTTGAAGGCTACCAAGAACCTTTTTAACACGGTTCATTATGGTTTCCTGCCGATACTTGGCATCCTCGTATTTGTCAGCCAACCTCTCTGCTGCCTCAGTGAGACTCTTCTTTCCCTCTCTGCACAGAGCCAGCTCCTCTAGCTGCTTTTTCTTCTGACCTGTAAGCAGCTTCACCCTTTTCTGCAGCTCTTCACGAGCCATGTCCTGTTTCAGGATGTACTCCTCCCTAAACACTTGAGTAGCTCTGCTGAGGAGTTGGAGGCACTCTTGAGGAGGAGGGGCCGTTTCTTTGTCTCCAGCTTTAAGAACAAGAGGATTGGTTGAGCTGCGCATCAAAATGTTACGAATATGCTGCTCAAAGGAATCATCAGCAACTGCACGCAGAGGTGAATTTCCCAAGCCTGGTCCAGGGTGGGAACAGAGCAGGGGAGGAGAGGGAGGGCGGATTGAGCTCAGGAGAGGCAACAGGATGCACTCATAGCTGCTAGTGATGCAGATCATAGTAGCTCCCAGAGACAGGTCTGACAAAATCAAAAAGCCACGCACTGGGGCCGACTCACTTGTTGGGAGAGGTTTAGTACAAAGGATGTGCTCCACAATGCAACGCTTCTCAGCTGCCAGCTCTTGAAGGCTGTCTTTATCCTCCTCACCTGAGCCAATAAACTTTTGTAGTTTATTAATCCAAATAAGCCCCACACTGTGCACCCCTGCCTCATGAGTACAGTGATACCTGTGCTGGCACAACGGGTCTCTGTGCAAACGAATGGGGCAAGTGAAGTCGAACTCCTGGGGCTCTTCGTCCTCTCCAGTTGCCACTTTAAGGGTGAGCTCCAACTCCACACACTCAAACACATACAGGGCTGGCACTGTCTCTGAGCTGTCAATCCACTTCTCAGACTCTTCCTCTTCTTCAGACTCCAGTACCACACAATGATACAGAGTACCTGTTTCTGTGGCAATGATCAAGATGCTGGGCTCACATGGAATACACAGGATGGCACAGGCATCATACCCGTAGTTGTCCTCTGCAGCAGGGTACATAGGGAGAGGTCCAACTAGCTTGCTCAAAGTGATCCCGTTGCTTTGGCTCGTGTAGCTCACGTAGGTCTCTCCATTTTCATAGAGGATATATAGGGGGTAAAGGGGCTGTTCTTTGGAGCGCTGCGCTGCCAGTTTTCTTTGAGCGGAGCAAGCGGGGCCGAAGTCAAACGCCACTGCAATCTCCCCCAGAGATGCAGCGAAGGAGCGTGCAGGCTGATGGGCTGAACTGTCGTCGTCTGACTGCGAAAGTGAAAGTAATTTTGTTGGCGTCTGAGGCGAGCTCAGGCTGTAAAACCTGATGGTATTATCTGACATGAGCAACGCCAAGTAGAGCTCTTCAATCTCGGTGGGAAACCAAGCTGCCTGACGTAGACTCACAGAAGGGGAGCTGGTGAAGAAACGCTCCGCTACTGGGATGGTCCTGCAGTTTATTTCGCTCTTTCCACCTTCAAATTCCGACTTCTTACCCCATCGCTGGGGAAGCTCCAGCACGGAGACACCTCTCTTTCCGATGAGTGCTACATGATGCCGAGTTGGACTAAGCAGCACTTGGCTTACCTCAAAAAAGGGAGGATTAATGCACATGAGAGTCTGATAACTCCCATCGTTGTTGGTGGAATCTTCTGGTGACAAATTTAGCTGTCGCAGATTGGTAGTGTGAAAGGCGCGTGCGGTCTCGTCCCACATAAAAAAGTCTGCACCCAAACAAAAAGCGAGATTCTTGGCGACACTTTTCCCGTTCCCATTGGCTTCTGACAGAATATTTTCACGAGTTCTGGTAAAAATTGAATGATTTGGTAGATAATTTCGCCACTGTTCCGTGTTGAATGCCGCCATCTTGAACTGCCAATCGGGTGCGTGGAAAACATCAGGTTTTACGACAGTATGTACCGTATTCCGGCGGCCGGTGCCGTACTTTTTGCAGAATCACCATGGCGCTGAAAGAGACTGCGGGATTGTATGAGACTCTGAAGGCGGAATGGAACAAGAAAAACCCAAATCTGAGTAAATGTGGAGAGCTTTTGAGCAAATTAAAGGTATTGTGAGAGTTGTCTTTCTGATTATGTAGCTACACTGCTGAGTGGATACTGCGTAAAAATATTCTAGTCAGTCACTGTAGCTAAAGCAGCTTGGGAAGCTAACCCTTGCTAATCAAGCTAACATGTTCATATCGGATTTGACATTTAAATACAGTTTCCAAACATATTTTCCGGTGTGTTGTTGAATAATTTGATATACGAACTAGTTTGTCTCACATGAGTATTTAATCTCAAACATGTACTGTTTACGTCAGTTTTTGTCCTTTTGTTATGATGGCAAGATGTAGATGGGGTGCATTTATTTACATTAGCCGTTTGTTGGCTTACACTGTTGCTGATTTCTATACAGGTTTCATTACTTGAACTGAACTTTTTACCCACCACTGGGTCTTCACTCACCAAGCAACAGCTCATTTTGGCCCGTAAGTATGATGGCATCTGTGCCATATTGTTGTTCCTATGAATGTTATGAAAATGTCTGTTTATTCTTGTTTTGTAGGTGATGTCCTGGAGATTGGAGCTTTGTGGAGTATTCTTAAGAAAGACATCCCCTCTTTTGAAAGATACATGGCACAGTTAAAGTGTTATTACTTTGACTACAAGTAATTATGTTCCTTATTTGGTTTGACTTTTATAACAATAAATTATTATTATTTTTTTAAAATATAAATAAATATATATATATACATTTTTGTTTGTTTGTTTGTTTGTAAGGAATGAACTACCCGAAGCTGCCTACATGCACCAGTTGCTTGGGTTGAACCTACTCTTCCTGTTGTCACAGAATCGAGTCTCAGAGTTTCATACTGAACTTGAGAGGCTAAGTGCAAAAGATATTCAAACAAATGTGTACATCAGGCACCCAGTGTCCTTGGAGCAGGTTGAAATCTTTTTCTTTGTGTATTTAAAATATATTCACACTTATACAATTTTGTAGTCTAATCTGTCTACTGATTTTGTTTTTGTTTAGTACCTGATGGAGGGAAGTTATAACAAAGTATTTCTTGCAAAAGGTAACATACCTGCCGAAAGCTATACCTTCTTCATTGATATTCTCCTTGACACAATCCGGTAAGTAAGTACAAAGTAGTACTGCAAATCTGCTAAATGTTTTTAATGGCGTCTCGGTCTAACTAGACTGTGTGTGCTTTATATACCTTTCAGCGATGAAATTGCAGGCTGCATAGAGAAGGCATATGAGCAAATCCAGTTCAATGAAGCCACACGAGTACTTTTTTTTAGCTCTCCCAAAAAGATGACAGAATATGCCAAAAAGGTATGAAGAATCATATTAAAATAGGTGTGTTGTGATTGTTTTTTGCATATTAACACCAAGTCCTTTTATTACAGAGGAAATGGACTTTGAGTCCTGATGGATATTACTCTTTTACCAGTCAGCAACAGCGCACAGAGGAGGTTAACATCCCATCTACAGAACTAGCACAGCAGGTCATTGAATACGCAAGGCAGCTGGAAATGATTGTGTAACCTGTGTTATTCCATTAATCAGTAAAATTCCCATAAATTGAAATATAAGGTATATCCATATACTTTGTCTAAATGTTGGTGTTTCTTTGTACCATGGAAACAGATTTCTTATGTTTGCAGCATTCAAAAAAATAAAAAATAAACAACTTACAAACATGCTTACTCTCATTCTGTTCAGAATTTTTAAAAAGTTGATTGCCAAATAGATTTAGGTTGCAGTTCCTCTTTCTTGATGCCTTATAAACCTAAATAACATAACACTTGTCTAAAATACATATTTAAATACACTTAAAATATTTAATAACGCATTTAATTATGCCCATTTGCTGTTTAACCTAGTCCTCCATTTGCTTTTCCCGGTCTTCGAATGCTCTCAGTGCCACAAAGGCTGCAACTTTGGCTGTGGTAATCCAAGGAGCTTCAGACAGGTAGTTGGGTCGGGCACCAAACCTATTTGAGAAAAGTTTTGATTCATTTGAAAAAGTATTTAAAGTAGTTATTAAATTTTCACTCACCTGCTGACTTTGGGTACAGGGCCAGGTTTGTGTCTGCGATGAGCCTCATTAGGACATCTTTGGTTTACAGTGAACAGTGGTATTCCAGAGTTATCAGAGAGAGGTTCATCTGTGTTTCCAGAGTTCGTAGTGGCTTGACTCTTCCCCTCATCAAGTTTGTATGTTTTATTTTCTATTATAGGATGTTTTTTGTGGGTTGAAGCCAGTTTTTCATTGAGCTTCGGGGCATTTGAATTTGAATCTCCTGGTGTTTGCTGTTGAGTGGGGAATTTTGCATCTTTAATAGAACCATTTATAACTTCTAAGAGCTGTGGCTGTGCTGTTTCATGCTGAGAACACATTTCATGTATACTTGGTTTGCTGATCTCAGTGAGATGTGTTTTGGTTTCTCCTTTGCCAGTCTCTGTAAACTGCTGTAATGTGCCCTGAATGGTTGCCCTGGTCTCAGTGTGATGTGAGCTTTCTTTTGACTGATCACTTTCTTCAGTGTGTTTTGCAGGTCCACCAATAATGGGAAGGTTAGCTTTATGTGTCACATTTTCTTTTAAATCTTTCTGTTCTTTGTTAGAAGGTATACATACTGGAGCTGCAGGTGGTTGTTGTGAGAGCACACCTGGCTTGCTAAGGTTACTTGTGTTTGCCTGTTGTTCTGCTAGCATTGATCTACCCTGAATGGTGCCCATGGTCTCAGTGTGATTTGAGCTTTCTTCTGGCTGTTTCTTCTCAGTTTCTTCAGTGTGTTTTGTAGGTACACCAATATTAGGAATCATAGCTTCATGTGTCACATTTTCTTGTAAATCTTTCTGTTTTTTGTTAGAAGGTATACATACTGGCAATGTAGGTGGTTGTTGTGAGAGCACATCTGGCTTGCTGTGGATACTTGTGTTTGCCTGTTGTCCTATTTGCTGTGGTGTGTGCGGAATTGTGGCCCTGGTCTCAGTGTGGTGTGAGCTTTTACTGCCATCTTCTGGTTGGTCAGCTTCTTCAGTATTTTTTGTAGGCACACACATATTAAGACAAATATCTTGATTTAGCACATTTTCATTTTCTTTGTTAGAAGGTGGACACATTGGTATTATAGGTGATTGCTGCCCACTGTCCTGATTTCCTGTTTGCTGCGCTATGCCCTGAATTGTGGACCTTGTTTCAGTGTGATTTAGGCTTTTATTGCCATCTTCTGGCTGATTACTTTGTGTGAGTATTGTAGGTACACTAGTATCAGGAATGATATCTTGATTTGGCAAATTTGCTTCTAAAGCCTTCTGTTCTTTGTGACAAGATATACATATTGACATTATAGTTAGTTGTAGTTTGAGCACATCTGGCTTGTTGAGGATACTTGTGTTTGCCTGTTTTCCCGTTTGCTGCGATGTACTTGCAGTTGTAGTCCTCTTCTCAATGTGATGTGAACTTTCACTACGCTCTTCTGGTTGATCATTTCCTTCAGTGTGTTTTGCAGGTACACCAGTATTAGGAATGATATCTTGATTTAGCTCATTTTCCTCTATATTGTGCCGCTTTTTGTGAGAAGGTGGACACACAGGTGGGTGTTGTGAGTGCAGATCCGGCTTGGTAAGGACAATTGTGCCTACCTGTTTTCCTGTTATTATTATCAGTAATTTTTGTTTCCCTTTTGAAGCTCCAGGCTGCTTTTCGTGTTTTTCAGTTAAATGGGAGGCTGTGACTTTTTTACCCTCACGCTCTCTTTCAGATCTGCACAGATATATATTTCAAAAAGACAAAATACTTACAGTCATTACATAATATGTAAATCCAATAGTCCATCCTAATTTTAACACAATCCTTGTAGTGCAATGTAGCCTAATAATTTGAGAGGACAGAGCTCACCTGGTAACTTGATGCACACCTGCTTGGGGTTTCACTTCAGTATTGTTTTCATAAGTTGATCTTTCTACCATTCCAATATTTAGTTGTTCCACTTGTCCAGCAGAATTTAGATTTTGTGGTTGTCTATTTTCTAGTGGAGCAGCACATTCTATACTGCACTTACTTTCTTCATCATCATGTGAACATCCTTGACAGTTCTCCTTTTGTTGGGAAGCATTCACATCAGGTATAATGGCAGAGTCACGAGGTGGAACTGGTTCATCATTTGCTGCGGGACAACAGTTGACAAGTTCAAAAGGTCTAAATCAAGTTTTCAGATAAGGTTGTATTTAGAAGATAGGATTTTATACCTGGGTCTGTAGCTCGTTTCTTTTTCTGTTTTTGTCTCTTCTTTTTAGACGCTCCACCACCCATTATATTACTGTTAGCCTTGCTGAAAATAGTATATTGAAGAACCAAGAGCACATAACGTTAAGATAACCTACACGTAACCGTAGCCTAGCAGAAAATAACATATACCCTAGCATGTATATTTGCTGTAGATTGAACGTAAAAAAAAAAAAAAGGCATGACATTTCGACGTAGGTTACCTGTTTCTGAGTCGCAATTTGATCAGTCTACTGGTCTCTCTCAACGCTCGTCTATTTGAACACAAACAAAGTGCGTCCAAACACGCACGTGGTACATTCCGGAATTGAATTTTAGCAAACATTTGATTGACGATATTATAGACTACTTTATTTACACAGAAAATTAATCGGAGTGTGGGTTTACAGTTTGACAAATTCAGCAATATTTAACATTTTTAAGGGGGGAGGGGCCTACTTAGGGTATTGAGTTTGAGCAACAAGTGCTTTGCTTGCTTTGCTGATAAAGCAACTTGTTTAACTTATTGTGAAATGTCTGTGTGATTAATTGTTATAAACTTCCAGAGTTTAAAAGCAGTGCGATTTGGATGCATAAAAATAAGCCTGAAACTTCGTGGCCAACATGGATTGACCGCGCTGCGCTTTATCTGGCGCTGTCCGTGGTGCTGAACTTTACCAGCGGCAACCTCACCCATGTACATTAGTCTATTTCCGACTACAGTGTAAACAATGAAGAACAAATGCATTACAAATTAAGTTTCAGACAGTACTGCTGAAGTTTTTAAAGACATATTGTAGGATAAACTGGAGGTCATTGACGGTTTACCCAGCTTGATGCCTACCACCCACGTCACCGCGTCTATGATCAACTGAGAGCTACATTTCAGTCATTTGCAATCACATGGCCTTAGTGAAACACCCTATAGAGAGAGGCACGATGCAGTCAGCACTGAGTGCAGTGTTGGTACAGGGCAGGTAGAGTGAGAAAGGGAAGAGGCGAAGCGAGGGAGTGATTTGAAGTAAGAGGGAGGCAGGAAGGGAGGGAGGATGCTGCCAGCGGAAAATGGCTGCTGCAACCTCAAACCTATCCTGATACACCGAAACGACATAAAGGTGGGGAGAGAGGGAGCCGGAGCACCAGAGAAAGGCAGCGGAAGATTAGCAAAATGAGAGCCGAAAAAGCGAGGATGTGAGCTACTCTTTCCTGAAAGGAGGATATAAAGTGAGGAGACCCCTGAGTGGGCTGCTGCAAGCGGCGGGCTACAGCGAGCCATGGAGGGCGAGTAAGTCCTTACATTTTCATTTTTAACATTGCTATCAGACATTTGTCAAGCCATCCAGCCAAACTGACAGAGCGAAAGACAGCGCCGTGGATGTACCTCCAATAAGCCAGCATCACACTGGCTATATTGTCACAAGCGGTGCACTTCAGTTTAGCTGGCAGCCGAGGATAAAAACACCATTACGTAGTCCCCAGGCAACATTATACGGCCCATTTCCCATAGATCCGAGCCAATATGTGATCAATGTAAACGTAGCGCCGTGTGGACTTGTGCTTTTGGATGACTAGCTCATAATGTCCAAAAGACTGGAAATAGATGACACGTTAAACAAGCGACATAAGCGCCGCTCTTCTCCAAAGTCATTGCGTGCTTAGCAAATGGCAAAAAACAGTCACGAAATCAACCAATGTGTAAAATGTGGGAAAAAGCAAAATATGGCGAGGCCAGAATCGCGTATATAAAGATGCGGAATCACTTATACAAGGCATGGGTGAATGCGTTTGGTTTTTATCAACGTGTCTCGAGCTTTCATTATGATTTTTAAAGCCAAACTTTATGAATGAAATGTGATTTTTTTTTCCCTCTCTCGCGCTCCCTCCTCACCCTTCCTCTCCTCCTTCCTTTCTCTAATGGCCCCCTCCCCCATCTCTTGTTTCCTCCCCAACCTCTCTCCCACTCGCTCTCTTTTTCACACGCGATTTTATTTGGACCTAATAACATTTCCGGCGAAATATGTAAGGCACTGGGCGATGTCGAAGTCAGGCTGGTTGTGTCCCATTCATAAAAAAAAAAAATCTAGCATCATATAGGCCTGCATTAATGAGCGCGCGCGCAGGGCGTTATGGGGAAAACCAAGCTGCATATGGCAAAATAATTACAACAAACCCAATGTAATTTGATCGAAACAACATAACATAACATCAGAGAATATCAAAGCCGCTATATGAAGTTGTTGATTCAGTAATCGTCGAAGACAGGCCAAACCGTGGAGGCTGCCTTACGAATGCCGGGCCTCTGATGGCGAATGGGTGCGTTCATTGATACATCTATGTGGGAAACACTCATTCTCCCTCCCTCCGCCTGTTGGCCATTCTCACCTCCTCGGCGCTGCTTTTATCGAGTTCATCCACATTTCCTTTCTTATCGAGTTTCACATTGAATCACAGTTTGGACTGCTTTTTGAGGCTGCTGCCAATACAAAAGGCTTCCTCCAGACCTTTCATGTTTACATTATAATGCTCAATAAAATGGCAACTACCTCCAAAATGTAGAGATAGATTATTGTAGGCTATATAAACATGTTAGTGTACTGTGATTATATTATGCATAGGTTTGCTGGCTGAGCTTGGATAAATTTACATTTCGACACTTACACAAAATACAGAAAATAATTTTGAATGTGTACATCACACTTAAACACCTGTTGATATGTCAATGTCTGTCAATATTTCCATTAGTATTTTTTATTATGTGTAAAATATATTTTTGCATAACCTTACTAAATGTTTTTTTCATGTTCACTGTGCTTATTTAATCTGACAATATTCCTTCCTCCCCTCCTTTGACTTCCCAGTGTGCGTGTTCGTGCAGTGGTGATGACACGTGATGACTCCAGTGGCGGCTGGGTGCCCCTAGGAGGTGGCGGCCTTAGTCATGTGGTCATATGTAAGGGGCGGAGTCATGAAGGTAGAGGACGGAGAGAGTACATCATACGAGGAGAACGGCTGCGAGATCGAGCTGTGAGTTTGTGTGGCAGTGTGATCCACCTGAAGACCGTAGCCTGGGTGGTGTTTGTTGCATAGTGTTCCATGGTGGTTCATTATAAGTCTGTGGTTTGTTTTGGGTTGGCTCTGTCTTTAGCCGGTGTTGGAGTGTGCAGTGCAAAGAGGACTGGTCTACAACAAAGTAAACCCCATCTTCCATCATTGGAGAGTTGAAGATCGCAAGTTTGGCCTCACTTTCCAGAGTCCTGCTGATGCCATCTCCTTTGAAAAAGGGTTGCAGGCTGTTATAGACAAACTCGATAGAGGTATTAACAAGTGTTAAGTGACTTTCTTCTATGCAGTTTCTATCATGGCATACAATTGATCATTCAGTTCTTAAATCCAGTTTATTTCCTTCTGAAAAGGCTCAGACTCCCCCTCATCCTCAACCCCTGAAGAGGCTGACACCGAAGATGATGGACAAGCTGTAAGTGTCTGAGTAGCTGGGTTTGTCTTGTTTTACTAGCATTTTATTTTGGAGTCGATCACTTGAGGAATGACTTTCATCCTTTGTTAGTCCCATACAGGAAGTGAGTCATCGTCAAACAGTCGGAAGGAAATGCTTCCCAAACCCATCACCATCGTCACAAGTGAATCTTCATCTACCTGTTTTGTACGAGCAGAGGAATTTGGCTTTGGCTCCAGTCATGCTGTCACAACACAAACTCCTGCTCAGGTAAATACATCCATGACCATCTTGAACAATGTCTTGTGGTATCTTGTGTTATTCTCTAAATAAGAACTTATGCTATTTGTAGAAAATACCAAGTCACCCATCCATCTATTTCAAGCACCCTTGAGATGATAGCGTTGTGTGTACTTCTACTGCCACTGTACACATTGTTCTTGGCTTATTCAGTAATTCTATACTCTCCGCAGATACACACCCGGCCCGGACAGCACCAGCTTTCACAAATGTCTGCTGTTTTGAATCCCCCTGCTCCTCCGCCTCCTCCACCTGCTCCTCCAACGCCCACTGTTGGTCCCCCTGCATCATCTCCTCTGTCCCCTCTGTCTCCTACCATTTCACTGCTGGAAGAGGGAGACCTGCGCAGCGTTGACCCCTGCAAAGACCTGTGGGGCTCCAGGGGCTATGAGGACTACCGCCGAGCCGGTGCTACCAGGACTATGGTGGGGGGCCTGACAGGAGGTGTGGTTGTGGGCAGTGGAGTTAGTTTACAGGACAAGTCTGAGCTGTGTGTGGTGCGATTTGAGAAGGAGCTGGCAGGAGTGGGAACAACAGGCTGTGATGTGACCGTGAGTTTGGATAGTAAAGCGTCCCAACGTCTGTCCTCATCCTCCCCAACTTGCATGTCCATGTCCAACGCTGTCTCCGGGATGTCTTCGGGTGGCGGCTCACCCCAGGACACAGGTAAAGGGTCCCCTTCACCTTGCTGCATACACACCTCATTGGCTACACCTAGATCACGGACTCGTAAGAGAGGGGGCGGGGCTAGCAGTAGTGGTGACCCTGGGGTGATATCCCCGGATGATGACAGCCCGTGTCCCCAGGCCTCATCGTCATGCTCGTCCCGCTGTGTCTACTGCCGTTCTGTGTTCAGCGCATCTGAAAACGGGAGGGGGCGCTGTAGAGATGCCCCTGACCCGGCCCTGCACTGCCTGCGCCAGTGGACATGTGTGTGGTGCGCAGAGAGTCTGCTCTACCACTGCATGTCGGACTCGGAGGGAGAGTTTTGGGAGCCGTGCTCATGTGATGACTCACTGGGGGGCCATCCGCACCCTCTCTGCTGTGCGCGCTGGTTGGCCCTCCTAGCCCTGTCAGTCTTTGTGCCCTGCATGTGCTGCTACCTGCCTTTGCGCGCCTGCCTGCGCTGTGGAGAGAGGTGTGGCTGCTGTGGGGGAAAGCACAAAGCAGTGCGATGAGACCAGGCGCAGGGGTGGGAGGGGTTCCCTGGACCAAATGTGGTTTGGATGTTGAGATTAGAGAGCACCTATAGGCACGCACTACATGGAGCAAGTGGTTTATAGTGTTCTCAGCAGATCCAGGCCCTCCAAAGCCCTATGGCCTTCCACTGCATTCCTGCTCTTTGTCTGTGCAACCCGGGGCACTCCTCCAGGCCCCTGCCTGCTGAAGGTGCACTGTGCTCACAAGGATCTGTGGGTGTCATCTTAAGCCTTCATAGTGGATCTGCAGAGTTGGCCATCTTCAGACACCCGTAAGAGAAGGGCAAAGATGATGTGTACACTGTTTCAAATGTTTTGTTTCTTTTTATTTAGAAAGAAAAACACAAAAACTAAAGATGTTTATATATATAATTGTTATAATTTTAATTGGTATATTTTATTAAATGTTGAACATATTGAAAGAACCCCCCAGTGACACACATTCAAAACATGGTGGAGAAGTAATCTGTTTTGTGCTAGCCTGTTTATCCATCAGATAAGCAGATATCACCCTTTACCTCTGATTTTACCTCAGATCCCCAGGTAAAGAAGTCAAAGTACGGAGAGGTCCCATGATTGTTGTCTTTTGATTGAGTAGTAGATTGCCACAAAAGAACACTTTTCAGATGTGATTGAGGGAAGTTGCAATGACAACCACTAAGACTAAAAGTCAAAATGTTATTCATTGTGGTCCTTGGTAACCATAAAATGGGGATTTTTTTGTAATCATAAAATCCAAAATATGTGTCAATCATTAAAATCACATTGATTATTTCATTTACCTATGTATTTGTAAAATATTACACATATAAGACATTACATCTTACCACTATACTTGTTGAATCAGTCAAGGTGCTTACAACTGAGGCCTCTGATTGAGTTTATTCTACCTAATGTACAAAAGCGTCATATAGTCCCAAAGACCAGTGAAGCAGGACCCTATGGTGACAAATCTTTAGATGTGTCTTGGCCTTTAAGGTAGACACTACCAAAAATAAGTGCAATGAACAGTACAAGAATCAATGGTATATACTCGGTATATAACTATACAGTAAAGGAGTTAATGGTCACACATACAGTATTACTATGTTGAAAAACAAAACAGTAATGATACTAGCGACACAACTGTGATGGGCAGCATGCAAGTCTGAACATGCATACTGCAGACACATCAACCTGAAAATAATGGACCAAGCTCTTTGTGAGGGAACAGCTTAGGGTATGTTTGTTGAATGTTGCTTTAAATATAAATGGAAACGCTGCTATTTAGCCCTGTTCACCTGCAAAGTGGTGCAACAACTAACCAGAATTTAGACAAAATATGGACAACATACCAAGTCACTGCAAAACAGTGAAAAGTGTAAGAAAGGCTTTTATCAGCTTGGATTATTGAGATAAAGCTGTTGTACTTTTATGTGCATTGCTTTATTGGAATGCATAAAGGTGCAGTGTATAGGATTTGCATTTTTTGTTTTCCGTTTTTGCAACATTTTTCCTTTCTTTTCATCATTCATTCATCAGAATATTCATCAGAATAGTTGTCTTTTTACAGAATATGAAAAATTATTTCTCACTCTGTGTTACTAAATCCTGCACAGTGCACCTTTTAAAAAGAAAAAAAATCAATTAGCTTGAACGGTGCTTAACAGTATAATATTCAGGATTTCTTAGACAGTATTTGTAAACAGGCTTCTTCACACCTATTTTATTTGTTTTATACTGATTTCTGAAGCTATATGAGTGTTCTGTTATAGCTCTATGTATATTGGTTTAAATTTGAGCAAGAATTTAATGCATTGGGCATCCATCTCACAGTTCAGACACCACTACATTGTGTTAAGAGATCTACAGTAAATTGTAACATACATTTGGAAAATCCTGCATATTATACATTTAGCAGTCACACAGGGTATTTTTTAATAACAAATATTAACATTTCAAAAAGAAATACACAGGCTGTGTAAAATTTGTGTAAAATTAAATCTGTATTAAAATATATGAGGCAGTTCCTTTTACAGTAACAGCACTGTGTGCGTTTAAGAAATTATGGCTATTACAGTGTTGTGTAGACATAATGTGGTGCCTGGAGACCCTGGTTTATGGCAGAATGAACCTTTCAGAAGCTTCATCAAACTTACATTTAGGTTTAGCCAAGAACTGTTATCCAAAGTGACTTAATGTGAGTGAACAGGCAGCAGGCAGTCATGATATCTGACATGGCCCAGGCCTTTCTGCCAACAGTGAAGAAGATATTGTGTCAAAATGGCGGGGAACACAAACCTAGTTGGTCACGAGACTGCCATTTTCTGATCTTGAATTACCCGTCTCACCCACACACACCCACTCCCCACAATTCTGCAGTGCGAATCCTGCACACTGACGCACATGTTCACTCAATGGTGCAGACACAACTAGTAAAGCCATTGCACACAGTTTGCTACTTCTGGTTCATATTTAGTGTTAGAGGAGAGGACAGCACTGACAGTCATGCAATCACACCTGCAGGCCCCATTCTTACATCTTAATAAATGTGCCTTTTGATTTGATTAATCAATAACTTATTATTTCCAAGTAACTCTGTATTAAGTACTCTTTACATTTTGGGTTATTGATTTTTGCCAATGTGCATATTTTTAATTGTATGTATTTATTTATGTTTCAAAGTAATTCTTGAAATATTACCTGTTTATTTATTTATTGAGATATTTATTCTGATTCTTTATTTTTTGAGACAGGTTTTTATCTTCCGTGCTGTCTTACTTCTGACTTTGTGCCAATGTGCTGCTTTGAGGTGTTACATATCGTGGGTTTGTATCATTATTAAACCCTCACTCTATATTTTAAATGAGTGTCTTTTCATCTCTTCACACAAACAATGAGGGAGACATGTACAAAAAATACATTTAATTTTTTAACTCTAAGAAATGCATAGCCTTTGATTAGTAACTGGCCGGAGTTGACATTGGTTATTTAGCAGAATACATGTGCTGCCGCTTGTGTTTAAGAATCTCAGTTGAAGTCAGAGTCAAATCTTTGTCACAGATGTCACAATGGTAAACTCTTGTCAAACTGGACATGGACAAGTTTGTTTTTGTGCTTACCGATTCTGAAAAACATTAACACAAAAAGAGATCAAATTACAGTATAATGAGGTCCAGGGAGAGCACCAAAAATTTAAAACACTGACCTTCCTCTGTCTGCTGCTGTTCTCCTGGCGGCCTGCAGGTGGCCTCGTGCTGCATGCGCTCCAGGGGAGTGAGAGGCATGTACAGATCACAGTTTGGACAGGTCCAGAAAGCACGCAGACATTCACTGTACAGATCTCTGGAGTCCTGTAAACACAAACCATAAATAATCTTTTTGGTAACCTGATAGTAACTTGAACTTATTGCTACATTTTATGTCTATTAAACATTATTTTAAAAATCAAGATAATCAAAGACCTGATGCTACATTTATTTTTCATTTTAAAAGGTTAATATAGACATAGTGACTTACAGACAGACAGTTGTAATTGAAAAAACTGTTGACACAAAGGCCTCCTTTAATGGGATCTGGTTTGGCCTCAACTCCTGGAAAAAGGGCGTTAACACCAGAATATGTGGTCTCCTCAGCTTGTGGGCCTATGTACAGGTTCTGAGTTTGTAAAGCTGTCAGTCTACGGATGCTATAGCTGACCTATGGAAGCAAAAAAAAAAAGAATTACAAAAGTTTAAGTTAGAATAAATTGTGCTGAAATAAAATAGATAAAAGTGGATTTGAACCTCAGTGTAAAGCAGAAAGCGAACCAGGCCATCACTTAATTTCTCTAAGTCTTTTCGGGACACTCCTTTTGTTGATGATTCCAGCACTGATCCCTGACCCAGCTGGTGCAGAAGAAGGCGCTCCCACTCTGCTCTGAGCAATAGAGCTGTGGACAGGATCTTCAGAGCTTCCTCTGGCAATTTGAACTCCAGCTCCAGCCAGCCGTCCACTACAAGACGACTGCAGTCAGCATTACTGTCCACTGAGTTCGCTACAAGGAGTAGAGTCTAATGGGATGATATAAATAACAAAACATAGTTACTGTATTCAATATTACTTTTGTTTTGAAACACTGTACATAATTGTGTGACTTTTTACTGTTTTGGGTGTAACAAATGAATCCATGAAAAGTTTAATTCATAATATAATATTGGTTCACATGTATGTAGGTGGAGTACCTGCAGTGCTGGAACTCGGACACAGTTTGTCAAATAGGGTTTGTTAGTTTCCAGCAGAGTGACAAAGGCGAGTAGCTGATGTTTGCTGCTGCCCTTCTTAGTAGGTCCTGTTGGCATTAAAAACATGGGAAAATATACAGCTGAGTATAAATAATGCTCATTTTGACTGAATCATTAAATGCTTTCTGTTTACCATCTCTACCATCATCTTCAGGAACATGCAACACCTCTGGATCACTGGCAAAAACACTTGTTGGATGGATCACAACTCCCTGCTTATTCTTTGTGTGAAAAACCTAAAATTATAGGGAAATAAACCTAAATAAAGTTAATATAAAATACACAATAAGAAAAGTTTCAGCAATAAATAGACCTTTTTAGAGGTAAATGATGGTGTCTAACCTGATCAGAATCCTTCCGGGCAGTGTTGTGTTCATCTGGTAATGCCAGTTGTGGGTAAAGGCCTCGGCAGACCAGCAGTTTCAGAAGTGCCTGTTTTCTGGAGGATAGGTCCTGACAGGCACTCACTGCATCGTGCAGCTCGGACACATTGTGACGCAACTTGAACTTCACCTCCTGACCGTGCACAGTAAACATTTATTCACATCTTATATGTTAACAATTTAATGTGAAAGATTAAATTGTAGCCATTCAAAAGGTACCAGGTGTTGTGAGACTACTATATATTAATTTTACCTGTATGTCCAGATCATGGCCTGCCCTATCTTTGTCCTTATTTCGTCTGCCTCTGTCCTCAGTGTCTGATCCTGATGAATCCTCCTGGCCTTCCTCCAGTCGCAAGACTTTACGTTTGGTGCTCTCCTGTTGCTCGTGATCTCTCTTCAGCTGATGCAGCTTCCTTCTCTCTGACAGCCGCTCCATGCGATGACCACGGGTGCCACTAGAGGAGGCACTGTCTTCAGATTCTAGCAGTCCTTGGCTTTTCAACAAATCCTAAAATATAAATATATCATAAAATATACTAGTGTACACACTTAAACAAAAAATAAATAAATAAATTTTTAAAAGTGGCATGCCTTGAATTGCCTGCGTAAATTGACCATCTCATAAAGCCGCTGCTCCTCCAGACCTCGTCTGCGGCACCACTTCCTAGACCCTCCACCTCTCTCCCCCTTAACCTGTACAAAAAATGTTTTTATGTTTCATTGAACAATTTTTTATTTTTTTCGTTTGTTTTGGCACCATAATAATGATACCTCCACCCAGGCATTGAAGGTGTTGAGCAAAGTGAAGGGGTCTCCCTGGTTGCTGTGCAGGGGTTGGCGAGCAGTGGCGCAGTCTGGGTTTTGCTGTGAACTGCGTAGAAAAGGCGACTGAACACTGAGAGCTGCTGCTATGGTCAGCACAGGCTCCACAAGGTTGAACACAGATCCTAAAACCAACATCTTTCCTGAAAAAAATATGTGTAGCAGATTAGCTCTATACTTTAAATAGCCAAACTGCTTTAACCGCATATAGAAAATCTCACCTATGACCACGTCTACTGGTAGTTGTGCCAGTAATGTCCCAATAGTAGTTAATTCACCTTGACTGTCCAGAGCACCCTGGTCTTTGAGGTAGGTCACTGCAGTTTGGATGCTAGCTGCAGGTGGAGGGTCAATGAAGACAAAGCTGAGCGGATCTCCAAGACCCATGCTTTTCATCTGAGATAAAAAATCAAAGCGATATATACCTACACACACACACACATACACAAATATGGCCACTTACTTGAAGAATTAGGGAGTCCAAGGCTACTCTGTGGATTTCTGGCACAGGATATGGAGCAAAGGCATCATAATCAGATTCAGCATAAAGGCGATAACACACTCCAGGGCCTGTGCGACCAGCTCGGCCTTTTCGCTGTTCTGAGCTTGCTCTACTGATCCAAAATTCCTGCAAACGCTGCATTTTGGCTTTAGGATCATAACTCATTTCTTTCACTTTTCCTATAAACAGAACAAGAACACTACTGCTGATATGATTTGTGATGTTAAATGACAATGCAAATGACAAATAATGACCAAGCTTTCTTTTTGCTTTAAGCAAACAAAAATCGTTTGTTACCCGAGTCAACAACAAAACGCACTCCATCTATTGTAACTGATGTCTCAGCAATATTTGTAGAAATTATGCACTTTCTGACCCCTGGAGGAGCAATGTCAAACACCTAAAACAACAGAAAATGAATCAGTCTCTTCAAGTATACGAAACCAGGAAGCATAAATACCCAAGAAGGAAGTACCTTATCCTGCTGGGCCAGAGACAGAGTGCTGTGCAGAGGTAAAATGATCCATCGGCGTGTGTGTGTAGCATAAATCTGACAGGCCTCTTGGATTGTGGAAATCTCAGTCAAACCACTCAGAAAGATGAGGAGGTCTCCGCGTTCTTCTGGGGGGTATCGCTGGTCAATGCCCTGGAGAATACGCAGGTATGGTCGGGGGTCAAGTTTCTCAGAGCGGGATGCCTGTTCTTCCGGAGGAATAGGTCTGTATGTCACCTGAAAAGAACAAAGTTGTTGTTTTATTAATGAAATATATCTGGTTAAATCAATATCTATTCAAAAGTATAAAAACAGTAGCACTCAGAATGAAGACTTGTAACACCCACACCCACATAATATCTATTTTAAAGTTATTATATTTTATCTATATAATAAAAACTCTACCTGTATGGGAAACAACCTGCCAGGCACCTGCAGCACTGGAGCACTGTTGAAATAATTTGAGAAGAGTTTGATATTGATGGTGGCTGACATGAGGATGAGACGAAGGTCTGAATGATTTTCCAAAAGAGAGCGTAGAACTCCGAGGAGAAAGTCGCAATGGAGATGCCTCTCATGGACCTCATCTACGATCAGCACCTGGTATTGGGACAGCTCTCGATCTTGTTGAATCTGACGCAGCAGCAGCCCCTCAGTCAGGAAAATCAGTTTAGTGGCTGTGGTCCTAGTTGTCTCAAAACGTATTTGGTAGCCCACCTGTTAAGAGCAGAGATCAAAATTATATGTCTGTTTATAATAATAATAAAAAAAAAAAGAAAGTCACTAATTAGCCAGAATATATGCTTTTTGCTGTTGTTGAAGCAGACCTGTGAGCCATACTGGTTTAGACTTTCAAAGCTGACCCTCTTGGCCAGAGATATACAGGCTATTCTTCGTGGTTGAGTGCAGGCTATCTGTGTGAATCCTGAAGACAGGAGATACTGAGGAACCTGAGTTGACTTCCCACAGCCTGTGTCTCCCGCCACCACAACCACAGGATGGCGTCTCACAAGCTCTATTATCCGGTCCTTGTACTGGAAAATGGGCAAGTTCTTCTGCTCTCTTCGCAATTTGGCGAGTTTGTTAAAACTCTGTTTCTGAGAGAAGTCCAGAAAATGCAGATATGAGAGGCGACACTCAGCAATCTCTTCACGTCCCGGTCCAGAAAAAGACCTACCACCTTTGTGTTGCTTCCCCAGGCGTTCCTCAATGTCTTTGGTGCACACAGACACATTGATTTTATACCGAGCATCGTAGTCAGTAGGAAGCCCCAAGTCCAATTCCCTGTGATGCTTGCTTTTTTTGACTATTTCATTTTCTGAGCCGCAATATCCTGACATCTCCCTCTTTGTTTTGAATCTCTGGAAACGCTCAAAGAAAGCCCAAAAATCCTTATGCTCCGGAGTCCCACTCTGAATGTAGTCATGTTGTCTAAAGAAGATCTCATCCAGCTCGGCTCGACACCGCGGGCTGTCCCAGTCCCAGCTGCGACTCTCTCTCCCCCGTCCCGAATCCATTGACTAGGCTAATAACAGTTACAGTATTGCATAAATCCAATGTTTGCTTCCAAACGATGTAATAGTCAACTGTCTATTGTTTTATGACATGACAGAGTAGGTTAAAGTATCAAAGGTCTACAAAAAACATAGTTTCACAATGAATACTACGATACTTAGTTTAACTAAAATCGCAACAGATCTGTATTTCAACTCCACGAATGCATGCAGCTTTAAAGCGGAACAAAAACATGCTCGGACCTCTTCCGGTCCGTTTTTAAATAATGTCCGACGAGGAGCAGCAGCATGGATCAGTGTTTATGACTCCATAGAGTTATTAACTAAGTTATTAACTAATGGATATATCATAAAATTGGTTAACCTGTTCAGTATAGATACCTTTTTTGTAAGTAAACAACGGAGCAGTTGACTGCTTTGGTGGCTACCTGGCTCACACCCTCACTGAGCAGTTTTTGAGATAATTTTTAACATCATATTGTGGGATTTTAATCAACCAAGAACTGCAGCATACAGCAGCCCAAAGGACACAAGTTAGAAAGTGTTTGGTTTTCCTGTAGTCAGTCTGAGAAGAGCTTCTTGCATGATCTCCATGCATATGGAGGTCATGCAAGAAGCTCTTCTCAGACTGCACTGATACAGGATCTATTGACCCTACCTGACCAGAGACACAAAGGCAACTGATAAGTGCAGTATAAATGTTGCAGCAAAATAGCAACAAAACTTGAATTTCCCCCAAGATCAATAAAGCATCTCACTCTTTCTCCATCTAAAAAGATAGACCATCATACAATAATACAATATAACATATGAAAGGGGTATGAATACATTTGTTTGACAATTATTTTATTTAAAAACATTTACTATAAAACATATTCACACAGATATAACAAACACTTGACATATTAACATATGAGTTGAGTTCATGGCAACAACAGATTAAAAAAACTAAAACACATGTAAAATGGGTTTGCGCTTAAATTCATATTAACTACATTTGTTAAAATCAAATAAAAACATTCCTTGTATCCCCATCATCAAAAACGAAATGATATGTACAAAGTCATTAAATTGTCCTCACAGCTTGTGGTCTGCCTATTTAATCAGCTCAGCACTTGGTTTTATACATATCTATAAGAACATGAATGTGATGACAACAGAGCAAAAAACATAATTACAGGTAAATTGTATGTGGTGAGATAAAAAAAAATTCTTGTGCAGCAAATAAAATCTGGCTCCATCATAAAATAAAAACAGTAACAGCAACAAACATTTAAAATAAAACACACAAACAAACATATTTACATTTCGCAAACTATAGCTTGCTAAATCGCAGTTTTTACAATTCAGTTTAGATGGAAATCCAGCCATTAAGTCAGTTTTGTTGTTAACCCGTATTGGAGTGCTATTTAAGTCCATGAACTTATTTTACCACAGTATGGTGCACTACACACCAGTTTTTTCTTGTATCCATGCTCTAAACTTTGTGACTGTTGTGTAAATGCCAGGTTTATTTCTTCGAGCACAGCCATCCCCCCAGCTAACCACTCCTGCCAGGAACATTCGACCGCCGGATGGAAAGGACAAAGGACCACCAGAATCTCCCTGACACACACACACACAAAATTAATCAACCTGGTAGAACAATCATATGCAGTCTAAAGACATTTTCATCCGTCCTTGTAGGTAACACTAAAACAAATAACTGTATTAGTATATAAGTAACAATAAAAGTATACAAGTATAAAAGTAACACAAAAAAAAAAAAAAAAAAAAAAGATTAAGCAATAATACCTGACAGGCATCAACTCCTCCAACAAGTACTCCAGCACACAGCATTCGAGATGTGAGCTGTCCTTTCATCAGGTCATTACACACATCTTGGTTGATCATTCTCACCTGGGCTTTTTGCAGGACAGAGGCAGCGAATCCTTGAAAAATATGCCAAAGAAATCCATCAGTGACTTACATTGTCATGGGACCCTAACTGGTGGCAATAGAATATGAATCCAGCACTAAGATAATGTGATTGTTGGCGAACAGTTGGGTAACTATTAACTATTAAGTTTGTTCCAAATCTTACAACTACTATAAAATATATTTTCAGAAAACCTCACCTCCCTCTCGAGTGGCGCCCCAGCCGGTGATCCACACGTTGCTACCAGTGGGAAAGACGTGTTGTGGAGAAGGCAAACAGATAGGTTTAATGTAATCTGAGAATGTGACAGGACTGTCCAGCTCCATCAATGCAATATCATTATCAAATGTGTAGTGGTTGTAATAAGGGTGGGGAATAATCTGCTTCAGTGTCTTCTTTACCACCATACTGCCAGTTTGTCTTTGAGTATGGAGGCCTAAGTATGCTTCCCAAGTGCCAGGCTGAGAAAATCTGTGGATAATATGATATTTAACTTAAGAATATAAAAAAACAACGTTACGGAAGGAAAATACACAACGCTACAGTCACACATTACAGTTAAAAGGTGCATTGTGCATCTTTTCTGGTAGGGGGTCTGTTTCCTGCTTGTCTTCATGGCGATGCTATTGCTTTGTCTAGAATGTTCCAGACTTTAAACCTGTCTATCTCAAGGGAGACAACTATAGGTTACAGAGGGAATTATTGTATTTTTAAGCAACAGAAACACTCGTAATGAATAAATGCTAGATACAGGCAAAGTCTGACAAGCAGGTAATTTACTCTTCAGAAAAGTTGCACAATGCACCTTTAATATTTATAGCTGGTACCTTGTCTTGCCGTCATCTTGCACACAGTGGGCAGCAGTGACCAACCAGCGGGGATGAATGACTGACGCTCCGCACACGTGGCCGTAGTTCTTGACGTGTAAACTGACTTGCCACGGAAACTCTCCTTGTTCTGCATCCTGACCGCCCACAATGCGAGACGTCTTAAAAGAAGACTGACCACAATCTAAACCACCCCACACACAAAGTTACTAAATAAAAATAAATTATGATGGAAAACAACTGAACTTAGTTCGAAGTTTTTGCATTGTGGTTGTATAACATACCACAGTTTTCCTCATCAGAGCCATCTTCACAGTCCTTCTCTCCATCACATTCAGGGTTAACTTTAGAGATGCACATGTTGTTTTTACATTTATAGGTAGTTTCAGTACAGGTTACTCCTGAGCCTGAAAAAAACACAACAACCAACATATATTGCTGTTAACCACCACATCCATGGGCTTCAAAATGATGAAAACTAGCAACTTTACCATGGTAACTAACAAATGAAAACTAATCTTTTGAATGGTAAAGGGTGCTCAAAATGGCATCTGTAAAAGGAAACTGAAATCCATCAATAAGTAAAACAGACCATTGCTGGTTTCAGATTACATCAAAGCATTCTATAGGCTGATTATATTCAATACATATGGAGGGCAGATAAAATGTTGTCTGATGTGCAGATTTTAGTTGAAATATAGTTAGTTCTTGGGTCTAATCACTGATAGAAATCATCAGCTTCAACATTTGTGAATTTACCTTTTGTATGATATCATCACATTCTCAAATCTGAAGGCCACCAATAGGCACAATAGGCACTGACCTCTATTACAATTACGCTCATCTGTGCCGTCACCACAGTCGTCTCTCCCATCACAGCGCTGCTTCTCTGAAATGCACTTCTTGTTGTTACATGTAAAGTGTCCAGAGGGGCATCCACCTGTCATACAGTAAAGCACACATTAGTAAGAGGACCCTAGTTTGTCAGCTGAAGAAGAACCCCAGGGTAGTCACTTACCACAATTAAGTTCATCTGTACCATCTCCACAATCATCAATGCCATCACATTTCCAGAATGGTGGTTTACAAAAACCATTTCTGCAGCTGATTTCTTTTGCACTGCAAGCTAGGAGATATGAAATAACTTTAGTATTTTTATTATGTCAGTTTTTTGCAGAAGATGTAATGTAATTTTATGTATATGTATATGTGTGTGTATATATATATATATATATATATATATATATATATATATATATATATATATATATATATAATATATATATATATATATATTACACATATACATGTATATATATATACACATATATAGACATATACATACACACACACATTATATATTTATATATAAATTATATATATATATATATATATATATATATATATATATACACATACATACATACACACATACATACATACACATATACATAATATACATACACACACACACAAAAAGGCAGATTTACAACATCATAAATACAAATGTGTTCTCTGTAATGTATGCAACATCTGGTTCTAACTGTATTTAAAGACATAGTAATATCAATGTTGCCCTTACTGCACTGAAGCTCGTCGCTCATGTCTCCACAGTCATTCCAACCGTCACACCTGAGTTCAGACCTGATGCAGAGCTGGTTTCTGCACTGGAACTGTTTTGGACAAGCTGTGGGTACAGTTGCTTTTAGTATTTGTCTACTGTATTGTTAAAATATGTTAAATAAATGGTAAATATGAAGAACTTACGATTCTTCACGTCAATGGCCTCAAACTGTGCATCAAAACCTCGGTCCACATAGGATTTATCAGAGTAAAAGGTGATGGTCATTTTGTTGCTTTTGCTGGTTTGAGTCACCATTTTCATTGGCTTCTCTCCACACACTCTGTGTGATAAAAACATGTCTTTAATGTCATGCATGGTGTGTTTATATGTATAATTTATCTTTTACACACTTTTCCCCATCAATATCCACGTAATCTTTGCGACAGGTCTTACTTCCCTGTCTTGGCTCTTCCAAAAGAAACTTATTGAATGTCACCTTTACGGCCTTGCCTTCAGGGACCTTCATTTTAAAAAGACACAAAACACATTTGTTCAGACAAGAAACAAACAGCTGGAAAAGGTTAAATGCATCTGGTTATTAAGTAAATACCGTAACTGTCCATTGACACAGTGTATCAGGTGGATAATAATTGGGGAAATTTGGAGAAGTAAAAAAACCCCTTTCACCTGAGAGCTGACCTCCGCATGTTGTTCCTGTAAAATGAACACACCAAACTTAGAAATGACAGCAATTCTCCCCTTTTTCAACTATTCTGTTAAAATCAGTTAATTATTTAATACTTAAGCCATTTATCCATTTAAAACACAGAAGGTTTACCTTTACTGCCACGCTTGACTTGAGACACTTGAGCTCTAAATCCTGGATAGTTCCCTATGTCATTTGTTGCCATAGTCACTAACATGACATTTCCAGAAGAGAGGAAAGTCATTGGTTCACTGGGAGAATAATAACCACACAATCTGTGAAAAACACATAATTAGATACAATTACTGCATACAGATCCTCAGCAACACCCCAATACAACCTATGCATGCAATGTGAATTAGACAACAGTACCATAACATCTAATATCAGACATGCACATTACACATTTCTATTACATATTTAAGACTAATTTTAACTCACTCTTCCAAAACTCTGCTCTCAATAGCCACAAGGGAGTCATAAATTTTCACAAAGTCATTTTTGCAATTTTCCTCCAAGTTCATGGTGTCAAAGTCCAGCTGGACAAGATATCCAGGATCGGCTCTCAGCTGCCACTGGATAAATGTGTTTGGAGGGTAGGGCCTGTTAGGAAAACCAGGAGACTCTATATTCCCAATGTAGTTGATACTTGTATGTTCAGAAAACTTCAGAAATTCTGAAACACAAGGTATAAATATTGATTAGTAAGGAGACTACAGGTAAGATATTACAATATACAGTTTTCAATAAGTGTTGGGGGGTCCGCCATCTGCTTGTTTCCATAAGCACATTATTGCTTGCATGAAATATTCCACAGTACAGTATTCAACATATCCATCGCCATGGGACCAAGCAGGTGATGCTACAGGGCCAAGTGACAGGTCAGATCAATGGAGAGGGACCCTGCTTACAGTAAAAGTGTTTATTATGTTTATTAAGGTATTTCTTATAAATACCTACATGAATGAATGCAAGAAACACAAGTTTGATGCCATCTTATGAAACATTCCAAGCAGAGCAATAAACTGGAGACAGGCAGGTGGGGTACCACTTACCAGAAAAGTTGCACAGTGCAATGATAAGGTTTAAATTTAAACTTACGTTGGAATGATGTTGAAAGCATGCGGGCATCAAGTGCTGTAAAAGAAGTGTCCATATTAGAAACAGAAGGAACCAAATCTTGGAGAAATCTCAACACACAGCACAAATGACTGCACCTGAGGACACCACCTCATCGAGCACCAGAGCGTTGCCTGGTCTGTTGAAAGAACTGCGCTCTTTTTCCACCTGCTGGCTGATTGAAGTCATTGCACTGTCAACAGCGGCCTCTTGACCCGCAGGCACGTTGAATTCAGACAAATAGTAGGCGATCACACTGCCTTCACTAAACATAGAAAGGTCACAGGTACACCTTAATTAATGCAAAGTCTCAAAGTCAGTCATTACACAAAGTAAGATATAGAAAAGGCATACCTGAATGCTTGAACTGTAGAACCAACGTAATATTTGGCAAGTTGTGGTAGTTTGGAGTAGATCTGTTTAAGCTAGAAAATTGTTGCAAAACAAATAAAAACAAATCAAATTCAAGTGAAAGGGGAAATACCTCTTGACCAAGTTACTATACATGATAATTGGTTTTCAATATTTTGTTCTAATTAAACAAACAATGCTATTACCTGTGTGGTGACCTGTTTGGCCAAGGCTTTGAATTCAGGAGTGCTGGAGTTCTCATAGGCATCTTCAAACACCTGGTTGGTGATTTTCAAGGAGCCTGTGTACATTCTCTTAACTCTGATGTCTTTACGAACTGTGAGGTCGAACACAAAGACACCTGTCAGTCTAAAAAACTTTATTTAGTTCATCTTAGTCATCATTATCTAATTTCACAATGTGCACCATGTAGCCGTTTTGGTGGAGGGTGCAAAAGCTCATCTCCATGGTGACAGGAATGTTCCATAGTATATAACATTACACTTATCTAGAGCCAGGCCAAGTTACACTTGAGACTTGTGGTGAGGCGACCCTGTCCACAGTGAGAATGCATGTTTATCAAGGTATTCATAACAATAAAATCTCATTGTTACTGAATAGATGCAAATAAAAATAATTGAAAATCTATGCCATATTGTGGAACATTCCAGGCAAGGAAATAACATCTTCATGGTAGACCCCCCAACCAGAAATCTTACATAGTACACCTTTAAGCACTGTCCATTATGAAACCTTCTTTAAACATGGACAGTGTGAGTGTGGTTGTTTTTTTGTACACTTTGTAAACTTACAGTGAAAGTGCCAGACCAAAAGACCAGCCATAAGAGCTACGACTGCTGCAAAGACAACCACACCGATCACAGCCCCAACTTTTCCTGGACCCTTCTTCTTTTCCAATTTTTTGTGATCGGATACTGGCAAGAACTGGTCTGTGGCTTCCCATTCTGTATCCTGAAAATAGTCAAATGAGATGTCACTGGGTAATTCTTAATACAAATATATGCAATTTATTTTATTTATACTTTTACTAGATTAATTACAATCAGCACCCCTAATTATTACAATAGGATTAGAAAAATAAACTACTATAAACTGTGTCAAAGTAAACTGGTTTAAATAATTACTTCTACAGCTTCTTCTTTTCAACTTCTACTACCATTAAGACATTGTATAAATCCACTTAGAGATTAGTCACCTGCTATAAATGTATGTTTGTTTTGTTTTTTCATGAGTGTACAATGATGACATCTTACCCATATAAATATAAAAATATAAATTGATCTGATTTGTAACATTTCCTCTCCAAAAAGAACATAACAATCGTGTCTGCCCAATTTATAGATTTGAATGATATGATTTAGATCAGGAACAGCAGACTGGAGCAGTTTAAGACAGGAAGCAGGTATAGGCCTGTCATAATAATTACTATATTGGCTTATAGTTCAATACATGAAAGCTGGAACAATATATTTTGAAGTTCAAAATTATTCCGTGTATAATACTTTTGTGAAAGTGGGTAGGACATTTGAGTTGTAAAAGGTTAAATAAGTCACTTCTATGATTATTTATTTGTTACAGCTCAAGTCTTTTAATTATATTGTCTGTTCAAAAATGGTTTATCGCAGTATATTTCTGTAGCAATACATATCGTACTTCAAAATTTGTGAGGTTCAATGGAGTAAAATCTGTCATGATAACAGACTACACTGTAACTTTGATGTGCCACTGGCTTTTTAAGCAAAACCTATATATAGTTTAATGTGTCGTGAATAAGAAGTGTAAGCTTGAGTCATGAGGGGGAGGAGAGAACAAAGGTTTCACCATGGAAAATCCTGTCAAACCTGCTCGAGACATACTCCAGCTGAGGAGCAACAACACACACACACACACACACACACACTTTTTGCTACTCTGCGCACTCTGAGAACAAAGCAATATTTGTGTGAAAATAAAATGATTTAGAAAGATTTTTTTCTGAGAGTAAAAGACAAATAAATAATAATACAAAAAATACTAAATCCCTGTTTTAACAAAGCCTTACAAGCTCTCACATGCATTGTTTCATTTTCATAGTGACACCAAAAATGCTGCCTGCAGCAACATCAGCAACCTTGATTATTTCTTGTAATATACTGGGCAGGGATGTTTACCATATACATAGTTCTGTGACAAATTATTCCTCCAAAGCAGACATTTTTGGTGATAAAAAGTTTTTTAAATAAGTAAAAATAACGTACTGCTGTTTGCACTACTGTATTAATTTTGTTTTTGGTAATTGTGTAATTTGTGGCTTTATATAGCGACTTGCAGCTCTGAATGAGTGGCATCCCAAAGAGTGAGGGGCAGGACTCAAGTCAACATGTCACAACAGGGTGGGAGATACTGTAGGAATTTAAACATCGTCCTGAAATGGTTCGCTGGATCATACTGACCAACTAAGTCCAGGACAAGCATTAAGTTTAGCATGTCCAAGATGGAGATCCACTTGTCTGAAAACTCAAGCTTTTACTTGAGACAGAAATGTTTTCTTGTGTGTGGGAATAATTTTCTGTGCTATATTCAAAGTGCTTTGTTTGCATTCTCGGGAAAGCCACAAATGTAATAAGATCCACAATTGTGAAATAAAAGACCTGTTTGTCAAGAATAATTGGGATCACATTTGGAGTTGGAACCAAACTTACAGCTCTCTAAAGTCTGTGTATGTAACTCTCATACATATTCTGCACATATGTTCACAGAGTCTAAAATACCTTGAATTCAAGGGCTTAATAAGTCTAAAAAAGAAAGTCAGTGTAGCCTCTTTTTAGTAGGCTGTATGTCATCATCATTGTCACCGGACATTATGTGACTGAAATAGTCAAAGGTTAAAGCTTAACTCAAGATAAAAGTGTGTCTGTAGGTTAATGTGGATAGGCCTGGCTGAGGAGGTGTTGTCGTTGAATTCTGGATTGACCCAGTTTACAGGATGTCAGTCTCCTTCAAAATGTTATTTACAGCCACATGATTCATTTAAAGTGTGGCAACCCTGTTTCTACATGATTGACATGACATTATTTGAGTGTGGTCAGATAACACCCAAGCCCACAAGCAAACAAATCAAAAAGACAGTCACTCATGAAGGCAAGGGGGATCGCCACCACCACACCACTACTTACAACACAACGTACAACACAACTTACAACACACATTTCTTACCTTTCTGGGGGTATATCTCAGACCACTGTCTATGTACTCCATCCGAGACCAAAGTACCAAAAGCACAACCTGTTTGTCTGCACTCCTGACTTTGAAAAAGAAAAACTTACTCAATAAACCTGGAGTAGATTTATGACCCTGAACCGAATAATAAGAATAAGAGGCAAGCAAATAACTTGAAGTAAGTCCACAAACTGTACGTCTTTTGCCTTTAAAATGGTTTCACTTGGATCGTGGTGTTCTCCAGCGCGCCTCTGTTCCCAATATGTCGCCCTGCACAGAGACCAGCAGGACTTTTCCGGGTACCTGAGGTTTCTATGGGCGTGTAACCGCCCAGTGCACCTGAAGCCACTTCCTGTTTACTTGACGCAGTGAGAGAGTGACGAAAGAAACGAAAACCGTAGGATAGAAATGTGACATAAATAGGCCTGCCTTTATAGCATTAAAATGTAGCTGTGACAAAGATACAAATGAACTGTAACCCTCAATGTGCCTATTATAGACCTACGACGCTGTGATTCAAATCAGCATTCAAGTTCCCACATTGTTTGCCCATAAGCTTTTGTGGTAGTCTTTTGACAAATAATGAATACATTAAACAATTACAAATGATAAAAAAAAACAAAAAAACAGTTTACAATAACACTGTGAATCTGTACTTATTCTAACGTAGTAGGATTAATTAGGTGAACTGTAGTATCTGTCACGTGGTTAAATTAAGGTTACCAAGACGCTACAGGTGACTCACAGTAGTGATTCACCAGTGTGTTGTCTATCCAAAATGAGGTACAAGTTTCAGACGCGTCTTCCCCCGCGCCTGAAATCCCCATATTATCAGAAATGCAGTGGGGCCCATAACGTAGGCAAATGCTGACACATAGTCTAATTCTGAAACTTGGTTGCGCCACTAAATAAACTGTAGTAAGCCTGTTGCAAAACCCAGATGAAGAAATATCACTGACATTATTACTTTACCAAAACATAATATTAAGTTAATATAATTAGGCTATTAAGGGACGTGAAAACTAGTGCAAAGCCCAAGTCAAATTGGATACATATAGCTCAATATAAATTAACATTTGGTCTACTTTAAAAAAACAATATTTATAAAAAAAAACCCACTATGACCACTGATTCAATTAGTAGATTAGCAGTGGATTAATCCCTGCATTATAAAGAAACCATACAAAGATTTGGAAGTTGTGAGTTTATTGATGTGTACCCCCAACCCCTCCCCCTTGTATTCATAAATTGGTTTCCATTTGTGACAATCAATATTTTAAAATCACTAATATGTATGTTATATTAGTTCTCTTCCCACAATCAAGCAGGCAGTTACAAGATCAAAGCTGTTTGGGTGCATAGTGAGACAGTCACATACAGAGATACTGTCACAGGAAGAGAAACAAATAGAAAACAAGAAAAAAACTTAAAAATATATAGAATTTCATATAAGAACAATGCACATCACAGAAAGTCCTCTGGAAAAGCCATGATTGCAACATCAACTATACAAGCATACAAAGACAATACTAAGAGTTAAAGAGGGTCATGGGTAGACATTATTTGTGTCATTCTCAATCTGTAAAAATACACAAGTTAGCTTTTTATTCAGAAACCAGCTCTTGAAGTCCCACAGGTCTGTGTGTGTCCGTCTGCACAGCCCTTCAGCTCACAATGGTCCAGGGCCAGCCAAAGCCTCCCTTAAGACCCTGTCAAACTTTTTAAGATCTCATCCAAATGTACTAATGGTACCTCAAATTTGACGACACAATCAACTGACCGGGTCTAATTATGCTACAAATGAATATCACAGAGCTTTGGGCTTTAGAACCAGCAAAGCCAACAGTACAGTTTTTAGTATATTAGTCAGACACACTTTTTACAGCAGGACAGGGGACATTTCTTTATACCCTCTCATAGTACATTCTAGGCACATTCTAGTCAATATGCATTACTTCATATGTACTCATTCTCCTGATAAAATGTGTCAAAATATGTAACTGGGCTAGTATAACATTCATTAATTCAGTGTCCCCCATTTTGAGCTAGGAGCCTGTGCACACTTTCTGCACTCAAAAGTGTGCCTGCAATTGTCACTCCAACTATTTAACCAACTCACAACCCTTACCTGGAAAAAGGTGGATTAAAAACATCTATTCTTATATATATTTATACTGTATATTTCTTCTGTCATCATAAACAAACAAAAAATAATGATTTCAATTTTGCTCTTTTGATGTTTTGCTATACAGTAAAGTTGGTACAAAGACCATTCATATACAAGCAGTCTATTGATAGTAAAAATCAAAAAAACATCAAAATCTGTATGATTAACAACTGATGGAGGAGTTGGATTTTGCGGTCAAAACAAGTCATTTTTTTCTTGATTTGCTTGTTAATTTTTGAAGAAAACCTCTGAATAAATGCTTTACATCCTGGTTATTACAGTAAATTCTGCAGAATCACATTTTACTGTTTAAAAATACATGATCAAAACAAGCTCTATAATACAATAGTAGCAGTAGTAGAAGTAGTAGCATTATTTAAGGATTGTTTTGAAACCAAAAAATGGAGTTTGGATATATGCAAACATATTTTAACATTAGCAACATATGGTCTTGGTCAGTAGTACGCATGTGTTCCCCCTCTGATGCAGCACCAGTGCCCCCAGTGGCCTCTGTTAGATCTGCATTTGCTCCAGGTATTTGTACGTGGGGTTTTCATAGCCATGGTTTTGCATCTTGTTGAGGTGGCGCTCCTCTGGCGATAGCATAGGGTCAACCTAAAAAACAAACAAATAATGCAAATGATGACTGACCAAAAGAGCATTTATTTATATATTTATTACAATATTACCATAAATCTGTCAGTTATAATTTAATTTGTGGCAGCAAACTCACCTCTACGATGCCATGGCTGATGGTGCCATATTGCCTCTTCCTCAAAAGCACCAAGCTGATAACAATCACAGTTGCTATAGCCACAGCAATCACTAACAGGCCGATAAGGGCACTGCTCCCAAAGCTGAAGTCTTCTCCCAAGGGCCGGTAGGGCTCCTGACAAGGAGACAGGAGGCCATTTTAGATTATGACTTCATCACAATAATGGATACATCTCACTTAAAAAACAAAAAACAATACACTGTGCTACCAGCCTGCTTCACTTGGCCAGAAAGTACTCAGTTAAGGGTGTGTTCACACTTGGTTTGGACCTAGTCTAGCTTGGGTCTCATCAAGGATAAGTTCTGGGTTTAGTCCCATGTTTTGTCCCAATTTTGATGTGGTGTGGGTGCAAATGTGGACACACCCTTAGACTAGTTTTGACTCTGGTGAAAACATATAGATATATTGCGGTTTAATTTGTTAGATTCATTGTATTTCATAAACTTACTGAAGAGACACGCCTTAACAGAAACATGCAGTAAATGTGTCTTAGTGGAGGCTTGTGTAATACTTAAGGAACTTTTTACACCACAGACACTGCACCCATCTCCACAAAGTAATGTATCCCATATGATTCAATCTGATCATATGAGTATATTCCCACTTGTTTTCACACATAAACTGAGCATGTCAGTTTGTGTGGATTCACACCCAGTTTCATGTTGCATTCAAATACATTCACATTTTACATGCACTCATGCAGAAATAAGCAAAACATACAGAAACCTTTAAAGACAAGAGAAATGATGCTTAACTATTGTTGTTGCAAATTTATAATAATAATTCCCTGCTTCTTATTATTTCTCAATATAGAATAGTACAGTTCTCCAGAGAGGTCAGCAGAGGGCGTCGCTGTACTCACCATCAGCTCGTCACCATGCATAACGCTGACTCTCTCTGCACTGTAAAGCACTTCTTTAACATCCAGAGACTCATCAATCACCTGTCAACACAGACAGGGAGTCCAGGTTACACCCACTGCAATGTGTGTGTGAAACTGAGTGCATCAGATAGGCAAAGAAGTGAGCGGCAGAACAGAGCGATACCAATGTGCAGGAGCTAACTGTCAGTATGACACTACATTTGGAGAGTCTTGTACAATCTGAAAGACGAGAGGGAAGGGATTGCAGGCATCCATAAGCCTTTAGGATGTCTTTTTAATAGACTGAAGCCACTTTAGCCCTAATCTGACTGATGTGAAGCGCTGCAAGTGAAGTGAGAGTGCTCAGAGGCAGAACGAAATCTGCTTTAGAAATGCAGGGAGGTATGTTACTGCTCCTGTGTGCTATAAAGCTATATAAAGCCCCAGACTGGCTCAATCTAAAAACTAAAAAAGCATTTCCAAAATTACAAAGACAAACATGCAATCACACACTTGCAAAGGAACATTTAGTTGAAGTTTGATAAACATGCATAACAAAAACACAGTTTGCAACCTAATGGGGGATTGATTCAGGGAAGGTAAAGCAGCATGCAAGAACAATGCCTAAAGTTGATTTGAATGAGGATTATCTTGCCAAAGAAGGACACGCACTGTAGATAGCTGTAACTATGACAATATAAATTACTTTAAATGTAATAATACATTTTAAAACTTAAGTGTCAGAGTTACAGAGCGTGAACCCTTTCATTTGTCTACACTTTAACCCTTATGCTTCAAAACTTAATTTGTAAGACTATCTCTATTAAAAACAATGATAATGGTAAAAATGTATTCAAATTTAATTACAATTTTACAATAAGACACAAGGGTTAAGTCACGGAAAGTCTGAAATTTTCTATTTTAATTTTAATATTTATATTTTAATTGAATTGAACATCTTCACTCCATTTAACAAAGCTAACATATAAAGCGTGAAAGAAAACAAATGCTTGTACAGCAAACTGACAGCTCGCCGTATGTCTTACCACATTGCTGTTGATTTTGGTCTTGCTGTTGATGATGCTCTCCTCAGCACCAATAAGCCCGTCCAAACCTGCCATCGCTGAGCCTGTAGGAGGTAAGCAACAGTCAATACCAGGATAAGACAAACAACTACAGAACGGGATGGTAGGGGGCAGAGGGGCAGAGGAATACAACTGTCGCCTCATCTCTACTGGGCATTTCTGAAAACAAAGGCCTTTATTTGATACAGCTCACATTGCCAGCTCTGTGTAGCAATCCAAGCCTAGATTTTCCATAAAAAGTGTTAGCTCTAATTTTACCACTATTTATCGTATCTATAAAAAAGAGGGCCACAGTGAAATCAATTTAAGTGATTAACTGAGAGCGAAAATCATTACTTAGTTTGAGGTAAAACTAGGCTACAATGCAAGACTGATGGTACTGAAAAAGGCATAAGATC